CTTTCCAGAGCATGCGGTCTGACACAGTTAGATCTACGGGGGGTCCAGTCCTGTAGACCTTGGCCACCACAAAGTCTCCAAAATCCAAACGGTGCATGTGTTTGTCTGACTAGAGAACACACCCAGCTGGCAGGTTTCCCCCCCCCCCCCTTTTTCTTTTGGAACTTGGTCCCTGGCAATGACAAAATCCTAGGGGGGGATGGGCTGAGGCTGCCTGGACAGAACTGGCCACTTTATGTGGGTTCTTGGCATTTGTTGGGAGTCAGCCTTAGAGAGGAGGTTGAAAGATTATGGCCCAGTAGTGAGCAAGAGGCAGGACACAACTTGAGCTCATGATAGAGGTTCTTGGGTGTATACGGTACACAGATGAGCTCCACCTGGCTAGGGATGGACAGGGTTCTCAGCCTTGACATCAAAAGCTTCACCCATAATTAAAAAATGGGGTGCAAATCTAAGCAGAATTCTCAACAGAACAATCTCTAATGGTGGAAAGACAGACACTTTATTTGGTTTTTTTTGAGACAGGGTTTCTCTGTGGCTTTGGAGGCTGTCCTGGAACTCGCTCTTGTAGACCAGGCTGATCTCGAACTCACAGAGATCTGCCTGCCTCTGCCTCCTGAGTGCTGGGATTAAATGCATGCACCACCACTGCCCAGCTGAGGAAAAACACTTGAAAGACTCAACATCCTTAGTCATCAGGGAAATGCAAATCAAAACCACTCTGAGATACCATCTTATACAGATCAGAATGGCTAAGATAAAAAATACCAATGACAGTTTATGCTGGAGAGGATGTGGAGAAAGAGGAACACTCTTTCATTGCTGGTGGGAGTGTAAAGTTGTACAGCTGCTGTGGAAATCAGTATGGTGATTTCTCAGAAACTTAGGGATCAACCTACCTCAAGACCCTGCAATACCACTGTTGGGCATATACCCAAAGGAGGCACATTGACACCACAAGGTCATTTGTTCAACTATGTTCATAGCGGCATTATTTGTAATAGCCAGATCTTGGAAACAACCTAGATGATCCTCAACTAAAGAATGGATATAGAAAATGTGGTACATTTACACAATGGAGTACTACTCAGTGGTAAGAAACAATGACATCCAAAAATTCATAGGCAAATGGACAGAACTAGAAAAAAACCATCCTGAGTGTGGTAACCCAAAACCAGAAAGACAAATATAGTATGTACTCACTCATAAGTGGATACCAGATATGAAGCAACAGATACCCAGCCTACAATCCACAACCCCAGAGAAGCTAGAACCCTCTTCCAGAAACAGATGGAACCAGATGCAGAAATCCACAACTAACCAATGGGCCAACCTCCTAGAGTACAATCAAAGTGAGGGAGGAGCAATAATATGAACAAAGGAGTCCAGACCATGATGGGGGAAACCCACAGATCACTGACTCAGGTCTGACAAATGGGGAACCTGCATAATGCACAAACTAACATGGAGCCCATTCTAAATGGAGAGATACCTTGCTCAGCCTAGACACCATGGGGGGTGGGGTGGAGAGGTGCCTTGGTCTTCCTTCAACTAGATGATGGGACAGACTTAGTAGACTTCCTAGGGGAGGCCATACCCTCTCCGAGGAGCAGATGGAAGGAGGGGGGGTGGGGGGAATGGGAGAAGAAAAGGGAGGGGAAATTGGGATTGGAATGCAAAAAATAAATTAATTTAAAAAAGCAATAAAAAAGCTTCATCCATAGCAAGCCTCGATCACATGAACCTTGTCAAAGTTTATCACTCTTGCACTGCAAAAGACCCCGTGGAACCCTGGTATGGCAGGTGTATAATCCCAGAATTCAGACAGCTGAAGCAGGAGGATTACCACGAGTTAGAGGTCAGCCTGCTTTACACAGTGAGTTCCAGGGCAGCCTGGGCTACACCGTAAAACATGTATTTTAAACGGGGAGGCAGGGTTTTTTGCTGAGGGAGGACAAACACGCACCACAGGTATAACCAAGGAATAGGATCTAGAAACACGTCTCACGTTCAAAGGTTTAAAAACGTTCAAAAGTTTAAAAAGTAATAGATAACAAGCATACAGTCCAGTTGTCAAATGGGTAAAAGGCACACCAGAGAAGACCCAGACAAGGGAGGTGAGTGTCTCAAGAGATGACCACCACAATCTTCCCGGGGAGATCACAGCAGGATAGTACTACCTGCCTGTGGGAATGGCTAGAATGGTACAGAGTGATCTCAGGGATAAACCAGGTGGTGGCATCGCACGCTTTTAATCCCAGCACTTGGGAGGCAGAGGCAGGCAGATCTCAAGTTCGAGGCCAGCCTGCTCTACGGAGTGAGTTCCAGGACAGCCAGGGCTACACAGAGAAACCATCTCAAAACAAAACAAAAATCTCAGGGCTAGAAACAGTACCTGGTTCCTGACCAGGGTTGTTCTGAAGTCAGGACTGGGAGGACTCAGTCCCCACCACAGACTCACTCAGTGTTCACTGCCTGCTGCCACCAGCCTTGCACACACATCCCACCCCCCCCATCAGCCGCCACCCATGATGTAGAGCTGGCCAGGGTCAGGCTGCTCTTGGCCACGTTAGGAAGCCAAGCCCTGTTCCATTCCTCTGGACAGCTCAGGACAAACTGTTATTAAAATCAATTATTTTGAACTTCTAAGTCTGGAAACGTAGTCCAGGGCTTTGAGGGAATCAAAGCAACTTTCCTCTGTTCATGCTATTTATGAAATAAACCAGGCAATTTGAAGCAGATAAAAGTTTTTAAAAGAATTAATCTTCTAAACTGTTTTCAACTTAATGTAATAAGAGCAGATGCTATTTATACGCTTGACTCTGTGCCAGGCCTCACGCCAAGAACCTTGTGTGAATCACTTAGTTGAATTTTTCACAACCTTAAATGCGAGGTTACTCCTTTTTCATGGATGAGAAAACAGGTTCAGAAAGGTTAAGTGAAAATGGCATGGCCACTACAACAGCCACAGCCATAGCCTCACCTGCTGGCCTCCCAACAGAGCTAGCGTAGCTTCTGGATTCACTAAGCAAAGTGCCAGGGTCACTGTTATTAATTCAGGACCAGGTGGTTGCCAGAACCCCACATCTCAGTGAGTGACATTCATTATTCCATTGGTCGGAACCTACTTGCAAGTACTTCACTAAATGCAAAAGATGGTGGGAAACGTGGTCCTACTGTGTGCCTGGGAAACAGAAAATGATTAACACATAGCAGTACCTCATCCAAGTCTATCTAAAGGGACATTAAAATACATACACACAGACAAACACACACACACACACACACACACACACACACACATATCTAGTATGTGGGGGTGGGGGGTAGGGGTGAGGTGTGCCATGACAGGTTTGAGAAGATCAGAGCGTTTCCAAGGCTTGGTCCTCTCCTTCTACTATGTGGGTCAGAGTCCACCTCTGCTCAGGGCTAGCCAAGTACACTCAAGTTCAGCTGAACGGAGGTCTCCACAGCCCAGACTTCTGGCTGCTGCCGCCTCTCTGGCCTTTGCCTTCCTGACCTGCCAAGGCAGCCCATCTTGTAGACAACTCACAAGCTCCCAAACAGCAGGAATTTGCACTGATTCAATTAAGCAATTAGCCTCAGAGCTGCAGGAGCCGCCTGGACTAACTCCCTTTGCAGACAGCCTTGCATTCCTGCTTTTGCCCCTTCCACAGGCGGCTGGGACCTTGCCCACTGCCGCGGCCACCTCCACGTGACAGCGTGTGACAGAAATGCTGCCATGGTTTGGAGGAGTGTCACTATTCCAAGAAGGAGGGTCACTATGACTCTGTCTGTAGCAATGGTACAGTGCCCCCTACGAGCAGTCAGTGGGCACAGAGAGGACACACTGCCCTTTGTAAGAGGGGGAAACTCATACACAGACTATCATGGAGATAGATGGGTACTGGCCTCTTCCTGGGGACATAGACAGCCTTAGCCATTAAGGAGATTCTCAGTGCGTGCTTGTTCAAACAGAAACAGAAGCAGTGAACTGTGGGACTCCATTGAGAGACTCTCAGAGAGTAGGGGCCGGGATTGAGAGTCAACTAGAAGCCTCCCCTGCTATTTCCCCCACCACACACGCAGTTTTCTGGGGAGCCCTCCAAGAGGATGATCCCTAGTGTCTCAAGCAAGGGACTCTTATGTAGATGTAGGGCCTTGCCCTGAAGCAGTATGAGGTAAAGAAAGGCTTCTTAAAGACCTTTTGCTATTCTTACAGCAGTGGTTCTCAATCTGTGGGGTGACCTTTTAAGGGGGGCGTGTCAGACAGCTCTTTCACAGGGATCACCTGAGGCTATCAGATGTTCACACTATGATTCACAACAATAGCAAAACATTACAGTTATGAAGTAGCAACAAAAACGACTTTATGACCGGGGGTCACCACAACACGAGGAATTGTATTAAAGGGCCACAGCATTAGGAAGGTTGAGAATCACTGTTCTCGAGGCTGAGATGCCCCTCTGCTGTTTGCCTTACTCAGACCATGTGGCACAGCGCACATGGTCCTGTCCTGAGACCCAGCCGGCATCCCATAGGCTGAGCCCCCTTGATGGCAAGGTCAGGAAGGTGGGCTCTGAACCCTTTCCTCACGGGTCACCCGGCAGGTGGAGCAGATGAGAGGTAAGCAGACGTCTGAGATACATGGGTACTTGGGGTCACCTTTTGGTTGTGGAGACGAATTGGGCTGGGCAGAAGAAACGGTGTGTGTGTGAGTGTCCACGGGTTTCTCTGTAGCAGGCGAGAGAGGCGAAAATGTGCCCGGCTCCCAGGAGGGCACCAGTGGGGTCTCCCCACTTTGAAGCTGCTCGATTTGGGGGCTCCTGAGCTCCTGGGTCCTGCTGGGAGCAGGGGTTCTGCAGGCTGCAGCAGGGACAACAGTAACGAGGCAGAGACAGCTGGCCTGCTGAGCACAGAGGTATTTTGCAACTGGAAGGCTGATTCATCCCAGCAAGTATTGATTAAGCAGCTGCCGTCTGCCCGGCATTGTGGTTTGTGGGGTGGTGGGGCGAGAGCATGAGGAAGTACCAGCAAGAGGAGCAGGAAGGTGGCAGAGGTAAGCCGGGAGGAACGGAACCCAACAGTGAGAGAAATGGCGAAAGCAGCGTCTTCTTGCCCCCTTAAAGGCTGTGCCGCTGGTCTCTAGCAGGCAATGCAGCCGGCGCAGATCCAGGTCATGGAGTCTTAACTTGGACTTAGTAGATGGAACTAGATCCTTCTGCTCAGTTGCTGAGGACAGTCCTACCAGGAGGCAGAGGACTATGGGAAATGACTATAGTGTCCTTCCCCCCTGGGGTGTTCATGATTCTAAACCACAAGCAGCCTCAACCCCATTACTTCTCCGTCCCGCCAACGGTCCCTTCATCTTCTTTGGACAAGGAGCTCTTGGAAGAATCCGGGGCTCACTTCTTAGACAGCTGAAAATAATATGAAGAGGGTTTCTATTTTGGAAGGTAACACTTACATAAGGTGGAACCTTTGAAAATGTTCAATTGGATCCTATTTAAGGAAATATCAAAGAACCCCACAGACACAGCTGGGAGGAGGCTGCTCTGTCCTCCTGGCCTCTGTGGGTTGTCATGGTCTGTGCAGCTACTCCCCCCCTCCCCCCATCTGCTTAGATGGTCATCTCATTGTGGGTGGGCATCATAGCCAGCCCTCATGGTGGGGGAAGCCTGCTCTGAGCCACCACCTGCCTCTGGCTGGCTGAGTCAGGATGCCTACTGGAACCTTGCCTGGGTGCCCCAACGTTCCTGCAGGTACCGCCAGGAAGACCAGAGTCTGGAGGATCTAGCAACGTCTTGGGGGTTTGGTCCAGGTTGTCCAGTATCATGTCCTCTGTGCTCAATCTTTGTGCCATGGTTTCTTGGGAACACTGGGTGCATGTGTTGAAAAGTGGGGAGGAATAGTTCAGACTTTGTTAAATTCCATTTGCCAGATCTAACTTCGAAGTTCCAGAAGGAAAAAGAAGGAATGAAGAAGAAAATGTCTTTCTCACACTAGCCAGAAGCAGAGTTTTAAAAGCAATCTCCACTCTCCTTTGAGGCAATGGGCCTCGATCTCCTTGAGTGTGGCTCTGACCCCCTCAGTTCTGAGAACCAGAGAAAAACAGCCAAGGAGCAGCCCTCCTTTACAGCCTGGTGGGAGAATCTAGAGGGACCCTGGTCCTTCTTCAGAAGTGGTCTCATCATAATCAACCTTCTCCCCACAGCTTCTGGGACATCGCCAGGCCATAAAGTCAAAGCTACATAAAAGACCCAAGAAGTCTCTTGCCTTCTCAGAGTACCATAGTCGGTGAATTTAAGAATGGTCCTAGTACCTAGAAGGACATTTGCATCTCCCTTCCTGAACCCCACAAGAGCAGGCTCGGCAAAGGCTAAAGAGATGATGTCTTCAAATGTATGAGCAAGTTTTACATTTTGTCTTTTGTGTTTTGGATGATGACAAGCAGCCGAGCTCAGCATGCCAACCCTGCAATGGTTTAATAGCTGCGGAGGATACTTGGGAGGGGTCTGGATCACTTATTTTTGAAAACTAACCACATTTAGGACTATTCTTTATCATCTCTATTGATTTCTTAGGATGGGAATCTGACGCTCCAAGAGGGTGCCCTGTTCTATCCACGGCCCACTAAGTATCTTCTGCTTCATTACTGAACAGCCTCAGCTTGAAGGTGAAAAACAAAACAAACAATCCTTCCACACAGATGAGGAGGTGTGAATCCTGCATGCAGGAATTGCCCATGCAGTTATGTACAGGAGCCCCTGGGGATGCAGCAGTTAATGCCAGTTTTCAGGCGACAAGGGGTAAACATAGTGACAGGGGCTGGCAGGGTCATAAGGGTACATAGTACTGGGTCTTATAAGCCCCGCCAAGCAGACCAGACTATCTTGGCAGGAGCAGAAATTCTTCAGATGTTTTAAGGGGAAAACAAAGACTCAGTTGGCAGAGTACCCTGTACCCTGAGTTCAATTCTCAGCATTGCTTAAACTTGGAGTGATAACACAAACCTGTAATTTCAGGTATGATAATCTCAGGCATAAGACATGGAAACAGGAGGATCAGGAGTTCAAGGTCATCCTCAGCTACATAAAGAGTTTGAAGTCAGCCTGGGATATATGAGATACAGTCTCAAAAAACAAACAAAAAATATTAAGGGGATTGATATTTCACATGTGAGAACATACTTACAACGGGATCCTTGTTCTCAGGCTGTAAAGTGTTTTCCACCTCAGCTATGATTTCTTGCTGACTAAGGATGTCTTTTAATCTCAGTGGAGACAGTGCCTGTCCTGTCCTGGGCCCCTGAAACAGATGCTGCAGACATAGAGCCCTACCTGAACTCTTTGTGGCTGGTGCCACACACACATTGTCTTGGCGAAGGGAAGCTGGCCCTCGACATTCGTGAAGGGGTTTGAGGGTCAGTCTCCTCTTTCACCCCAGCCTCACCTCAGTGTGTGGTGATACCCTGGGCTCCTTCCTTAGACTGACTTCCAAGCCCCAGAAGGCAGCCTTGCATTGCCAGAGGAGTCAATCCCCCACATTATCCCACAGTCCACACAACTCCTGCCATGTGCCATTTCAGAGGCTGGAGCTGGTGCCACTGTGAGCCTTCTGGGGCCCAGTGTCAAGGTGGTCACAGACAGGGACTGGGGCATAAGTTAACTGACCAACTAGATGGGAAGAACGCATTCCTTCTCTGCCTGAGCCCTGGGTTCCTAAGACCCTTTGGGCCACAGGACACCGCTGAGGGCTTTGTGGTTGGAAGTCTTTGCACCTTTGTGTTACCTTGACTAGGAGCTACCGCTCGGTCTCACTCGGTCTCACCCCCCCCCCGTGCTGTGGTGCCTATCTTCTTTTCTTGTTTTCTTTCCCTTTCCCACTGCCGGAGCCTTCCTGGGTCTCACTAGAAAGAAGCCCTTCCACTACTTCCTTTTCATTTGAAACACCAGACCCTGGATGAACCTAAGGTCTAATCGTACCTCATCAAGGCCATTCACTTCAGCTCCGTCTGGGAGGACTAAGACCCCAGCAGAGCTCTGCAGCCCCAGGCTCTTCCAAGGCTTGGAAACCACTTAGGTGGGTCATTATCCTCACTCCAGGATCAAGGTGTCCCTGACCTTAGCAACTGCCTTCCCTTCAAGCAGGGCATGCTCCTTCAGAGGCAGACAGCACAGGACATCTGAGTGGCAGAACTTTCAAGATCAAAGTCGCTCCTGTCTTTTGGAAGGGGGAAGAGGAAGATCACATTTCAAAAGAATTCAGAGAGGAAGGAATTAGTCCATTTGCTGACATCAGGCCTTTCAATCTGGTACAGAGATTCCCTGTCCTTCCTGGTGAAGTTGACTCCCTAGCATAAAGAAAGCCTGGTTTTCTTAATTAAAGACCAACAGTGATGCTGTGACCACTGGCTTCCTATCCCAAGCAGGGCCAAGTCTGGCTTCTTCTGTTACCTGGGGGAAGAACTCAAGGTCAAATTCTAACCCTCTTAATCTCTGGGAGCCAAGAGTCAGCTGTTGACTCCACTCAGAGGATGCACTGGTCTGGGACAATTTAAGGAACACATTGAGAAAACAGCAGACAAGAAAACTACAGTAGAGGCAGAGGAGAGGATGCATGGAGAGAAGAGCCTTGGGTACATTTGATGGCTCTGCCACCTAAGGACCCGTGTGACCTTGGGAAGGTTCCTTCACTTCTCTGAGTCCATTCCTTATCACCTTTATAGACACATAGGTCATTCAATGAGCACGTACAACATACCAACCCCCTTTCTTATATCATTTAGCCCTTTTAACGACTCGGCTGAGTAAACATTATTCCTATTTTAATCACAAAGAAACTAAGGTTTGTGGAGATTAGCAAACTTTCCAAAGACCAACTGGCAAGTGGCGGGGGCAAGATTTCAGTGGGGTTCCATGAGATTCCAAAGATTGTGGGTGTGTGGTAGAGCGGACAGCAGCTCTTAAGGAGACATGTCCCCTGTCCTAAGTCCCACACCCTGTGAATGTACCCTTACCTAGCAAAACAGAACTCGTGCATGCTGGTATAGTTCTTGCAAGGAGATCACTTAGGGTCACCCACTTCGAGAACAGAGACAGAGGGAAAGAGGCCAGGGGAGATGGAGTCATGTGAAGACAGAGACCTAACACTGGATTTGCACTTCCGGCCTCCAGAGCTATGAAAAGATGGATGCTATTGAGTTGGTCATTCCATTTGTGGGCATTGGTGGAGGCAGTCTTCACATACTGCCAGCACGGGGGACAGTGGATTCAGCTGCATCGTGATGCTGGCCTTTGGTCCTAGGAGACTTACCCAGTGGAGCAACAGGGTGGAAAAAGGATGTCATGATAGTTAGATTCTCCCAGGCTGGATTGTACTGTTCAACCCTGGTCCTGGTTAGCACATCCAAGTGGCCTTGAGCCACCTCCCTTGGGAAGCCACTCCGAAAGGACAGGGTGAGATTCCCATAAACTAGGGTGGGGCGGGGACAAATCTGCCTCAGCAGGAGCAGAAGTCTTCCTCCCTCCTTCTGGCAGCTGCCCTGTACATATTTGTGCTGTGTGTGGTGCCACTCAGGCTCCCTCCCCATCTGCTCCCATCCCAAGCCAACTGAGCCAGGAGAACTGGTACAAAGAACCTTTGGGGAAAGACCAGGCACTGGGAGTCAGTCTCAGGTTCCTATAAATGGAGCTGGCCCCTTACCCTGTCTGGGCTGGGTCTTGAACACAGTCACTGCCCATGTTTGTTTTACAGAGGCCCCGAGAAGTGCTCAAGGCCACTGTAAAGTGATGTAGAATGATTTGGGAAATGATGAGGCATGCTCACCGTTCTTGCTGGTGTCTACCAAGACGCACCTTGAACATCTTCTGGAGGGACAAATAGGCAAATGAGTCTTTGGGCTCCTTGTTAACAATTCCTTACTACTTCCTGTTAGGTTGCCGAATACATCTTTCTGGGAGGGGTGCAGCAGCCATGACATCCCTTCTCAAAGCCTTCTGGATATGATGGAATAGTACAAGAGCTGGGCCATGTCCAACAACAAGAGAAAAATAACTGAGAAACTCGGAGGTTAAAGAGGAAGCAAAAATGGGGGCAGCTATGGGGCTAACAGTAGGGGGAGGGAGGGAAGCAAGAGAGATCTCCTGTGTGGCTTCAGAAAAGGGGCCCCTGGGATTGTGGCCAAGGCAACCACAGCAGATGTCCTAATGGAGAATGTGGCTAGTCCATGGGTCCATCTGGGTTCCCTAAAATCTGTGTGTGAAAGATCCTGTTCTGGGAAGGAGGCTGTTTCACGCTCGGTAGGCAGCGAGCTCAAGGACCGGAATCCACAGTAGCCTGGCGTTGTTTGGGATACAGCCATCATAGACACCAAAGGCTCTGTAGGACCAGGACAGCGATGGCTTAAATTTATCTTTTGCACTGCATGTGCCGGGAGGAGCAGGGAGCTTTCATAGACTCCCAAGAGACACTCATATGGCCAAGGCAGGAGCCAGGCAGGAGGGCAGGGTCCACAGCAGTTTCTGATAATTTTAGCCTCATGGGGAAGAGGCCATTGTTCTTGGTTTAAATAAGCCCACCCCAGGGAGGGTCCCTTCAGGGACAGGAAGGCCAGCAGTGGTGGGGTAGCTCAGGGGACAACGGCCTCTGGACCTCTCTCTGCCAGGAAGAAGTAGCCTCAGGTCCAGAGAGCAGGGAAACAATCCAACTGCATCCCCCGTGGAGGTCCAGAGGACCACTTTCTGATGGGGAAGGGACGGGGACGGATCACAGGAAGGGAAGTGTTGGGAACATGGCCAGAGTTAGGAGCATAGGTTCCACTGGAGTCAGTTGGTCATCCACTTGGGGACTTTCCACAGGACAAACAAATGTTCCCAGTCCAGGACAGGGGTCAAAATCCCTTAGGACACAGAGAGTCTTCTGTTTCCCTGCTGCCCACCAGCCCTACTGTGTGACCTTGGAGGGGTCTGGGATGCCAACTCCTAGAAGGTACTTCCCTGGGGGGTGCTACAGCCATGTGAGTGTTAAAAGGATTGTGGCACTACAGGAGGGGAAGGTTTTCAGCAGCTGTGTCCCCGAACTGGTAACAAATGCATCGTCCCAGAGCATGGGTGTATTTAAATAAGGACATCCTGTCAAAATATGCTTGTCTGTTCTCAATCGTTGCTTCTATGGCTTAGCTCTAATGCCTCTGCTTTGCCTGTTTTCTACCTGGCTCTGACAACTCGAGGTTCTCATGAGACACCATGCACTATGTCACCAAAAGCTCTATACACAAGTCCTATTTGAGCCTCCTGATGCTCAGCTGAAAGCATGCCTGGGCAGGATTCTGGGACAAGAGCCAGAATTGGAGTTTGGACCCAGCCAGCCTGGCTCCAGCATCCACTCTCTTACCCTGGGGGTGACCTTATGGGACAC